AGGATTACAGTCTTAAGCCATCTGAACTCAGCTCCTTTTGCTTTTAATTTGGTTTTCAGATAGTTTCTCATCCTAATTTTCCTCAAACTAACCTTCTCCTGGCTGATCTTCTATCACAATCCTCCTACTTCTATCCTCTGAGTAATTAACTCCATCATCTGAGTAATGGAAGGTTATAGGTGTATACTACTACACCTGCTATCCATTGTTTTCTTTTTTTTTTTTGTCCGTCATGGGGCTTGAACTCTGGGCCTGAGCGCTGTCCCTCAGCTCTTCAGCTCAAGGCGAGCGCTCTACCACTTGAGCTACAGCGCCACTTCCGGTTTTCTGGTGGTTTATTGGAGATAGGAGTCTCACAGTCTTTCCTGCCCGGGCTGGCTTTGAACCTCGATCCTCAGATCTCAGCCTCCTGAGTAGCTAGTACAGGCGTGAGCCACCAGCACCTGGCTTATCCATTGTTTTCTAAGAGCCTATCCATAGACCTCTCCTCTACAGTCTCCCCAAGAAATCTCAGCCACTCTTGGGCTCCAATTTCTACCTGCTCATATCTCTTCCAAGGGTCAGTTCAGTATATCAAGCTGTTTACTAGAAATTCCCACTTGGATAATCTAAAAACTACCTATATGCCTACTTTGGTTTGAATGTGTCTCCAAAAAATTCATTATTGGAAACTTAGTCTCCAAACATTTATTAATAGCATTTGAGAGTGAGACCTGAATCCACTTATTTTTTTTTTGTTGTTGTTGTTTTCTCCTCTATATAGTCTCCCTATGTCTGCTTTCTAATTCCAAATTCTGGGAAGGTCTGTAGTAACTGCTTTCTCACTGGTATCCCGGCCTTTAACTTCCTCCCTATCCATCCCTTTTCTACATTTTACTGCTATGGTTCCTCTCAAACATAAACAAGATCAAATTATGTCCCTATCTCCAACTTGGCAATTCCAAATTTCTTAGGATTTTCCCCATCATTCTGCCAACTCTGTCCCTGCCCTCCTCAAAGAATTCTGTTACTTTGGAAATAGTAAGGAGTTTAGTATAATGGTCAAGAAATATAAGCATATGGTCAGATCACCTAAGTCTGAGTCCTGACTTTGTCAGTTCTTGGCTAGGGACAGTTCTTGTCTTCCTATGTCTCATTTCTTTCATCTAGAAACCTAAATCACTGAGGTGATTCTCATAACCAACATAAAGCATAAAAAGGTATTAGCCACCAGGTCCCAGCTGCTCAGGAAGCTAAGATTGAAGGATCACAATTCAAAACCAGCCCAGGCAGGAAAATCCACAAGATTCTTACCTCCAGTTAACAAGCAAAATGAAGAAGAAGGAGAAGGAGAAGAGGATAAGGAGGAAGAGGAGGAAGAAGAGGAGAAGGAAGAGGAGGAGGAAGAAGAGGAGAAGGGGGAAGGGGAGGGGATAGGGAGGGGAAGAGGGAAAAGGAAAGAACTAGCATTACAGGTATGCACTACCACACTCAGTTCCTACACTTATAGTTGATATTGAATAATGTTTGACTCTGAATTTGAGCTGATGAGGAATAGGGTTTCTTTGTCCTTCACTTTATGAGATCCAATAGACACTTCTTCTAGCATGCTATTTCCTGGAGAACATCAGATCAGGTTTTCCTCATTTATGTGTAGAGGACTTAATGTTAGAATGCACAGCAGATGGGAACTCCTCAAAAGAATGTGCTTAGACTAAGCCCAAAATGGAAAATTCCAATCTTTCTATTCAGAGTACTGTCTACAAGAATCTGAAAGGGATAGCTAGCCTAAATGAGGAAATGTGAACCTTCTCATCAAACTATTGATTATAAGGCACTTGAGGAAGGGCATAAACACTTTTACAACTTTTTCTTTTGCAAACTTATTGATCTTGATTCCTTCTAGGGCCTAAGTGACTACAAAGCAGAGTATAAGAATTCTGTTCTTCCACAGTGCTCATAAAGCATTCACATTTGGCACGAGTATATTTTCATTTCCAGAATGACTTCATATTTATAGTCTTAATGTCATTCGCTAATGACTCAAAACAAAACAGTTCCTTCCAGTTCTAATAGGATTACCTTTGACCTACTGAAATGTATTTCAGTGAGTTTAATAATTTACCTTCCAGCACTGCTTTCCTTTTCCCTATCCCTTTCCATTACCCTGCCCCTCCTCTCTAGATCTCTCTTATATATATATTTTTGTGCCAGTACTGGGGCTTAAACTCAGGGCTTAGGAGCTGTACCTTAGTTTTTGTTTTTGTTTTTTTGGTAGTTAACTGGAGTTAAGTGTCTTACCAATTTTTTTTTTCCTCTGGCTGGCTTTGAACCATGATACTTAGATTTCAGCCTCCTGAGATTTCAGCTTAGATTTCAGCTCAGACTGTAAGCATTATGCCCACCTTTGGTCCTCAGCTCCACCCAGACCTGAGCTCCTCCCTGTCCAGGAGTTCTTACCACATAGCTGGTCCCTCCCTCTCTCCACCCAGACCCACCTGAACTCCCATCTACCTCACTTCCTGCCCCCAGACCCTGCTGCTACCTAGATAGTGGAGGTCGCCATGTGCTCTCTCTCTCTCCGAGAGAAATATGGCTCCTCTAATAAACCTTGTAATAATCTTTCCCCTGTGCCTGCCTGCCTCTGCGTGGTCCTCTGGCATGGATGTAGCAGATCCTTTCATTGATCTTTCAGAGACCCCAATATCTGTTGTCCTTTTTCCCTTCCTTCCCTCCCTTCCTCCTTCTTTCCCTTCTAACATTCTTTGCTTCCCTTCCTGAATATCCTCTTTTCTCTTTCTTTTTAGATTTTTGAGACAGGGTCTCACTGTATTGCCCAAGATGGTACTGAACTCCTTGGTTCAAGATTCCTCCAGCCTCAGCATCTTAAATAGCTGGGATTACAGGCCCAACCACAAGCCTGGATCAACTTACAGGTTTAAACATCAGATAGAATTATGACTTGCTAAGAGATGAATAGCAAATACTAGAAAGGACAGGGATGGCAGAAGGGGAAGGAGACCTGGTTTAAAATTTAAAGTCCCAGTGGTATGCACTAGACACTATGTTGAAAATGAACTATACAACTTGTGGCTGGGGATGGGAGGGAAAGACTGGGAGAAAGCAAAAGAAGTAGCGACACTGTCCGAAAAGAAATGTACTCTCTCTTTATCTGATTTATGTAACAGTAACCCCTCTGTACCTCACCTTTATGATAATAAAATATAAAAAAATTAAAAAATTAAAGCCTACTTTAAAAAATTATCTACTCACACCTGTAATTCTAGGATTGGAAGGATTGTAGTTCAAAGCCAGCTTGGGGGAAAAAAATCAAATGAACCCACTGCAACCAACAAAAATATGAGTGAAGTGGAGTATGCCTATCATTTCCATTACACAGAAGTATAAACAGGAGAATTGTGGTCCAAGCCAGCCCAGGCAAAAACCAAGACCCTGCCCAAAAAAAAAAATAACAAAATAAAAAAGGACAGGTAGTTATTTCTTTGTAAAATGGAAGACTTTGTATTATAATGTTGATAGAAGGAAAGTTTTATTTTTCAAATAAGTATTCATGAAAGTACTCACACATTACAAATGTTGGCTATATTTCTCCTCATGACTAGTGCCTGCCTATTTAAATATGTGATTATTTTTAGAATGGAAGAAATCCAGCTTATTAAATGTGATTTGATACTGTAAAAAAAAAAGGACAGGTAGTATAAGGCTCTGAGTTCAAACTTTGGTACTGACAAAAAAGAAAAAAAATAAAGAAGGCTTAAATGAATTATACAACTTGTGGTAGAGACGGGAGGAAAAAACTGGGAGAGAGGGAAGGAGTAACAATGTTCAAAAAGAAATGTACTCATTATCTGGCTTATTGTTATTTTTACCTGACTTATTTTTGTGTGTCAGTCATGGGGCTTGAACTCTGGGCCTGGACACTGTCCCTGAGCTCTTCAGCTCAAGCCAAACACTCTACCACTTGAGCCACAGAGCCATGTCTGGTTTTCTGGTGGTTAATTGGAGGTAAGAGTCTCATGGACTTTCCTGCCTGGGCTGGCTTTGAACCGTGATCCGTGATCCTCAGATCCCAGCCTCCTGAGTAGCTAGGATGACAGGTGTGAGCCACTGGCACCCAGCCTGATTGTTTTTCAATTAAAAACAATGTGATGAAAGGGGTGCCATGGATCAGCATACACTGTATTTATAAACTGATTTGTTGAATGGTAACTCCATTATACAACTCCGTAAACATAACAAAAATAATAATTTAAAATGCATTTGTATTAAAAGTAATGTAAATTTGTATCTACTGATGTATTACATATATTCATAACATCCTCATTAACACAGATTTAATAGTGTATAATTGTGTGTCTTGAAAATTTCCTTTTTTGTATTTGTATACCATGAACTTGCATAAAATATTTTGCATAAACAATTTTTGCATAAACAACTATCTTAAATTTAAAAGAATATGCTTTTAGTATAAAACTGGAAATTAGCTGGGCTCTGATAGCTCATCCCTATAATCATAGCTACTCAGGAGACTGAGATCTGATGATTTCAGTTCAATGTCACCCAGGGCAGGAAAGTCCATGAGACTTCTATCTTCAACTAACCACCAAAAAGCTGGAAGTTCAGCTGTGGTTCAAGTGTTAGGGCACCAGCCTTGAGCATAAAAACTCAGGGATAGCACCCAGGCCTTGAGTTCAAACCCCAGTACTAGCACTAAGAAAAGAAGAAAGCAAAAAATATGAAAATTATTCTTTTTTTGGTCGGTCATGGGGCTTGAAATATAGGCCTGGGCGCTGTCCCTGAGCTCTTCAGCTTAAGGTTAGCACTCTATCACTTGAGCTACAGTGCTACTTCTGGCCTTTTGTTTATGTGGTGCTGAGGAATTGAACCCAGGGCCTCATGTATGTGAAGCAAGCACTCTACCACTGAGCCATCTTCCCAGCCCCTGGAAATTATTCTTTTAAATTTCTTAAAACCTTAAAAATTCTTTTAAATTTACTTACCAAGAGACTTTCTCCTGCTACTCCTCTGTTGTTAAAAACCACACATCTAAAAAGAAATCAGGAAACATTATATGTATACATGATTTCTGATCATGATATACTTTTTAAAAATTTAATTTAAATTTTGAACTAGCATTCATTAATGATATGACAGGTTTCATTGATAATTCCACACATACACAGTGTACTTAGAACATGTCTACCTTCCCATTATATTCCATTCCTCTCCTTCCTCCTCCCTTCTTTTCCACTGTTTACTGAATTTCATTAAGCTATTTTCATGTGTGTGTGTGTGTATGTGTGTGTGTGTGTGTGTGTGTGTGTGTGTGTGTGTATTTACCCTTTCTTCTGATCCTTCCTTACACAGAACCTTTTTCCATATTTATGACCCATTTGCTACTTAAAAAGTACTGTGCCAGGTATTGGTGACTCACATCTATAATCCTATCTACTCAAGAGTCTGAGATCTGAAGATAGTGGTTTGAAGCCAACCCAGCAGAGAAGTCTACAAGACTCTTGTCTGCCATTAATCACCAAAAAGCCAGAAGTAAAGCTGTGGGCATGAGACTCTGAGTTTAAACTCCAATACTGGCATAAACACAATCAAACAAACAAAATCACTTTTCTTTAAATTTACTTATCCAATCAATGAGGGCCATCTAGAACTCAAAGGTTTCTCTCTCTTTTTTTTTTTTTCAATACTGGAGTTTGAAGTCAAGGCTTCCTTCTTGGTAGGCAAGTGCTCTGTTGCAGAACCATGATTCTGGCATTTGTTGCAATGGTTTTGTATGTATGCATTTATTTATTTATTTTTGTGCCAGTACTGAGGCTTGAATCCAGGGCCTTGAACTGGTTCTACTTTTTCCACGTGCAGCTAGTGCTCTACCACTTGAGATGCACCTCCACTTTGGGCTTTTTGCTTGTTATTTGGAGATCAATGTCTCAGATTTGTTGCCTAGGCTAACTTTGAACCTTTGTTCACAGATCTCAGCCTCCTGAGTAGCTATGATTATAAATTTGAGACATTGGTTTCTGGTGCTACACTGGTTATTTTTGACATAGGGTCTCATTTTTTGCCCAGGCCCACACCTGGACTTCACTTTGCCTATTTTACATTTCCCATCTTGGCTAGAATGACAGGCAGGTACCACAATGCCCAGCTTCTTCCACAGACATGGAGTCTCACAGATTTTTCTACCTAGGCTGGCCTGGAACCAAGATCTGTCTGATCTCAGCCTCCCAAGTAGTTGAGATAAAGGTTCATGCCACTGAGCTTGGCTATTGTTTGAGAAGTGGATGCCCAGGATGCCCTTGAACTGCAATTCTTCTAATCTCATCCTCCCAAGTATCTACAAGGTGCTATTCAATACACACACACACACACACACACACACCACTTTTTTTTTGCCAGTCCTGCAACTTGAACTCAGGGCCTGGCTACTGTCCCTGAGCTGCTTTTGCTCAAGGCTAGTGCTCTTCTACCCCTTGAGCCACAGTGTCACTTCTGGCTTTTTCTGTGTATGTGGTACTGAGGAATCGAACCCAGGGCTTCATACCTGCTAGGCAAGCACTCTACCACTAAGCCACCTTCCCAGCCCTCAAGATATATTTTTGCAGAAAAATACTTGCATCTAAAACCCCATATGGGATTTCTAAAATTAGTATGTATTAATTATACAAGAGGGGTTTCATTGTGACATTTCCACACATATATACAAAACATCCCATTCAAACTCATCCCTCTGTCACTCTCCCTTACGCCCCTCCCCAGTTCTTAAAACAATTTCAATATTTCATAATTCTATTTTTTTCTTTTCTTTTCTTCTTGCCGGTGCTGGGGCTTGAACTCAGGGCCTGGGTACTGTCCCTGAGCTTCTTTTGCTAAAGGTTAGTACTCTACCACTTGAGCCACATCACCACTTCCAGATTTTTCTGTTTATGTGGTACTGAGTCTTCATGCATGCTAGGCAAACACTCTACCACTAAGCCACATTCCCAGACCCATAAAATTCTATTTTCACACATGCAAATACTTTGCCCACATCAATCACCCTTTTCCCTTTAGTATGCACTCTCCCAAAACAAATTGTTTTACTTTCATTTTTTTGGTGTGTTTATTAACTGTTTCACTATTGGAGATTATTATTACTTTTTCAGCTGTGGTCTAAAAGAAGAGAAATGGTCCCAAAATCTTAGATATCCAATTTGGAGGAGGGGGAAACTAGGAGATACATTTTATTTGACTTACATAGGAGAAACCTTTAATATGTTATAAATACATGCAAAAAAAGGACAAGGTCTCACTATGTCTTCCAGGCTGGTCCTAAGATTCTGAGCTCAAGCTTCAGCCCCCTAAATAGCTAAGATCACAGGTACCATAGTATCATTCTTGGCTGTTACTTTTTTCCCCCTTTATTTTTTACTTTCACTTTCTTTCTAAGAAAAGAAAAATAGACTAGAAATAAATAAAACTTGGGTTGACCATTTATATTCATTTGCTCAAGCCCCTAAGTCACACAGGAACTGTGACCTTGAATGCTGAGACTCCTATTCAGAAAGGCGTCACTTTTAGAGATCAAACATTTAAGAAAAGATAAAATAGCTTCTTAAGCAAGATGCTACCATGTGACTGACACCGAGAAAAGGCCTTGGAAGTAGACAGGGAAAAGAAAAGAAAATCTGCACGCTCATAGAAAAGCAGTCAGTACACCTGGGATTTGCTTCCAAAGTGCAGACTAAGATATCTGCACTTTCCTGCAGGCAATGTTGAAAGTGGATGACAGCTCTGGTCATCTTTTGCTAGAGGAGGAGCCAAACTGACCTCTCCACCTAACTTTGGTCCCAAGAATGTTTAATCCATGGCAGTCATTGCTACTTCTAGCCTTGGGAGCAGAAGGATAAGGGAGAAAGAGGGAAGAGCCAAGCAGCCACAGAAGACAGCAGAATAAGCTGCCATTCTGTCCTCCATTTTTCTCACTTAACTCCTTTGCTACACTGATAGTCATCAGGGAACACATTACACATTAAGCTAAGGAGCTGCTTGTGAAGTTATTATTTTTCAGTCAGGTGCTATCTCCTGCCTATAATCCTAGTTCCTCAAGAGGGTGAAATTTGAAGATTCCTGTTCAAAGCCAGACTGGGCAGGAGAGTCCATGAGACTCTTATCCCCAATTAACCAGCAAAAAGCTTGAAGTGGAGTTGGGGCTCACGTGGTAGAGTGCCAGCCTTGAGTAAGACTTAAAAAACAGTGCTCATGCCCCGATTCAAGCCCCAATACTATCACACACATATATGCATGAGTGCACGTGCGTGTGCACACACACACACACATACACACACACACACAATCCCACAAACTACTATTCTTCAGGCATGAAAAACCCTCTGTTAACAACTCTCCAGTTTCTGCAGCTTATCTTATTTAAATGGTGTCTCTGTATGAGGAAAATTAGTCAGCTAAACTCATTTTTCCAACATATTTGTAACTACTTAAATATTCTTCTCAAAACAAAGAAAATAGAAACAAGAAATGGCAAATAAGAGAATAAATCAGTGTAAGGAACTTTCTGGGACAAGAGAAGATGGAATCCAGGTGCTGTGGTCTCAGTATCCCATAGGGATTCCACTGTTGAAATTTAATTCCCACTACAAAGTAGGAATTAAGAGACTGGAAACTTAATCCAATTATAATGTTTATAAGTGAGATCTTTGTGGAGGGGCATAATTGGGATTAAGTAAGGTCCCCAGAATAGAGATCCCATTATAGAATAATGGTGGTTTTATAAGAAGCAAAGAGCTGGGTGCTGGTGACTCATGCCTATAAGCCTAGTTACTCAGGAGGCTGAGATCTGAGGATCGCAATTCAAAGCCAGAAACCCTTATCTCCAATTAACCACCAAAAAAAAAAAAAAAAAAAACCCCAAAAAACAAAAAACTGGAAGTGAAGCTGTGGCTCAAGTGATAGAGTACTAGTTTTGAGCACAAAAGCTCAAGGACAGCTCCCAGGCCCTGAGTTCAAGACCTAAAATCAGAAAAAAAAAGATGAAAGGGACCAGGATGCTCATGTGATACACACTACTTATCTCTTACCATGTGATGCTCTGAGCCACCTTGGGACTCTGAACATGAAGTCATCAGCAGACATGGCCCATAGACTTTGGGCCTTCAGAACTATAAAAATCAAAATAAATTTTTTTTTCTCTACAGATACCTACCTTTATTTCATTAGCATAACACAATGTTATTTCATTAGAATAACACAACATAGACGAATATACCAGCGAAGCAGATGAGTTTCCTCTGATGAAGGTTAAGTAAAAGGCAGAGAGCTATTATAACACAGGGTTTCTCAGTCTTTAGCATTAAAGACATTTCAGACCCAATAATTCTTTGTAGTAGGGCTGTCCTTTATGTTATAGGATGTCTGATGGTATCTCTGGCTTCTAACAACTGTAAGTCAGCAAAACCTATCCCAGGCATGTCAATCAAAAATATATCCAGGGATGGGGATGTAACTCAGAGGAAGACACTTGTCTAACATTAAGCCCTGGTTTAATTCCTACCACTGAAAACCAAAGCCAAAAGCAACCTTTTCAGATATTGCCAGGTGTTCTTTGGAGCAAAACTTCCCCTTGGCTGTTAAGGTGGGGAGGACCAGAAAGCCTTGACTCTACTCAGGGTCTACACACATGGTCTTTCCTACTAAACACACAGGGCAGATTCTGGGCTTGGGAACCTAGGAAAAGCAGTAAAGAAAGAGTAAGAGTAATAGGTACCTTTCTAGGTCTCATTTCCAAATATGCAAGATAAAGAGTTTTTTTTTCTGACAGCCTTAAATTTCTTCCAGTTCTAAGCTCTCCAAGACTTAGAGTCTAAATATAGAAATAGTAATCATTAAAGAATGGAATAAGAGGAAGCTTTAGGGTCAGCTATTCACACTGCACTGATCTCAAATAACAACAAAGTGAATTACTGCCTACTGCTTGACAGATCAAGTTGTAAACATTTCACATGAATAGTAATATTAAAATGATACTCGTTTATCCA